ATATTGTAGAATTTTTAATTAATATTTCTACTGGCAGAATGGGCTGTCAGAACCAAGTGAATTTTGTTGACCAGTGTTGCCATTGCGTTGTCCATCTACTGGGGAGTGCCTTTATTTCCCAAGCCCAAAAGTATGTTTTACCAGAAATGAAATGCGAGAAGAATTTTGAAGTCAAACGAAATCAAATTCCCTTCATGCTTTCCCAAGTGTGCTGGCCCCATTCCCACTCGATAAATTCCCACACTGCCGCTCCTCTTTGAGTGGTCGGTCCCGCCTTCACTGTACATACACACACATACTTCCCAAAGCAAATTTGTATCGCTGAACGACTTTCGTTGAATTATTTACGAGGTACGAGCATAGCAGAGGTTTTTGATTATTTACAGGGCGCCGTTTCTTTTTATTCGGCTGATAACTCTGCATCCCAATTCGACCTCGTACGAGTCCGGCAATCCGCACTCCATAAAAATCGCTATTACCCAACAACAGTTAAAGTACTCTGCCCCAACCCAATACCAATGTGCGACAAGCGACGACAGATAGCAGATACACCGAGTGCCACAAGTCATTTGGGTTTCGTTTTTTACATACCCTGGCGGGGAAGAGTACAACAGTTGAGTGCAGCTTTTTGCGAGCATTTCTGATGCCATTTAACAATAAATTGATTAAATTGATCAATGCACCGTATGGCATAAAATCCAATTAAATTGCCACAGCAACGATAGTGTATTTAAAACTTTGCCATTCCCCATTGGGGAATTTGGTTTCGGAATTTCTTTAATTTTTTTAGGGAAAAAACCTTGACAATCACCATGTGATGACGTGTGAGTACAGAATTGGGATAGGTTTCGTTTTTTGTGTGGAGTGGAATTCGATTTTTTAGCAATTTAAAAATTGTGAAAAGCACCAAAAAAAAAAAATGCATTGGCATGGTGCCAGAAAGAGCTGGCCCAAAGAGGGAGGGGACGGGCAACTACAGATAGAGATGCAAATGGATGGTGCGTGGGGATATTGCACATCTGCTGGAGGCCGAAAAGCGATAAAACCATAAAATACTCACATATGTTTGTATTTAGATATAACATGCAGTCTCTATACCGTTATACATGTACATACATAAGTACATGTAGTGAGAGAGAAGAAATGCAGCAGCATAGTGAAGCGAAAGAGAGAGACTGAGAGAGAGAGAGAGAGAGATCACAGTAAAATTAGCTTTGTCGCTGATTTATGTAACGGGACAAGATCGCGACGCCACTGTAGATGGAGCGGGACAGAAATAGCCCGAACTGCATGCAATAAGAAAATGCAATAAAAATGCTTGCGAAGGCAGCGCCAAAACGGGAGAGTCCGTCATAGAAGACAACGCAGAAGTGTGTATGCCCTTACCAAGGGCTTTCGCTAAAGGCTAAAATGACCCAAAATGATCTCGCACACCGATCGTCTCACCCTTCCCCGCACTGCACAAGCAATGGCAGCATCTGCTTAATCGATCTCTGCCGGCTGCACAGTGGGCCGCATGCCGGCAGATTGACCGCAGAACCGGTGCTGCCTCAAAACCACTGCGACGCGACGCATTGCCACTGCTGGCAGATTGCATGAAAGCCAAAACAAGCAGCGGCAGAGACAGCGCCAGAGACAGCGCCAGCGACCTGCGATCGTTTTGTGGGGCCAGACAGACACACCACACGAGTAAATTGTATCTGAACGATACGAGCGGCGGGAGCAGTACGTACTTGTATTGTATGGTACGTGTGCCACTGTCAAGAGCAGGGCGAAACGGAACGCAACGCGTCGTGTGGCGTAGCGGAGCGTCGCAGAAAGTGTTTTTCAATAACGCCAGCCGGTAAATGGCGATCGGTTCGCATCGGTTCCTGTTTCGATTATGCGTCGTTTCCAAAAAGAAGAGAAAACAAAATCAAAGGAAAAATCAAAAGCAGAAAGTAAACGCTCGAATGCACTGAACGAAATTCGAGTCTTAAAAGTTCGTTTCGAAGCCCTAAGTGCAGTGCTATGATGATTAAATTATGTAAAAATAAAACATACATACATATATACATATGTAAGCACATTCTCGTACATATGTATGTATTGTAAAATATGAGAATTTTACGAGTGGGAAATATATCAAAAAATCTTTCGAAAGATGTTCAGTGGATATTATCAATTCAATCAAAATCAATTGCATACATATGTATGTACATATGGTATATACGTATATATTGCTTTTATTTCCCACCCAAACCTGTACATGATTTGTAGCTGTTTTTTTTTTTGTTTTGCTCTGTGTGCCAAATGGTTGGGATGCCTTCAACAGCTGGAAGATTTGTGTCTGGAATGAAGAATCCCATTAAATAATTGGAACGCTTTGCGTGTCGATCTCTTCCATTCTCTTCCTCTAACTTTTAATTTTTGTTACCGGTACATAAAAATAAAGAACTAAAAGTGTAAAAATCACAGTTTTTTTTAAACTAAATTATCAGGCTTCGAAAAGTGAAGAATTGTTTCTTAAATAAATAAACTAAAATTAATTGGCATAAATTAAAATGTTGATTCAATAATTTATAACAATAGCATAAAACTCAAACAGAGTGCAGAGAAGAGAGGGCAAGGCATTGAGTGTGCTTCAGAAATGTTTTGTTATTGCATTGCTCCAATTTGTGTCAATTATGCGTGAATGACACGCCCTTTGACCCGTCGCCCACGATTTTAATTGAAATTTGCTTTCGTTGTTGTTGTGCCTCTGAAAAATGCTCATAAATTAGTTTTTACAAACTAGAGCTGCCACAAATCTCTCTCCGTTCCACAAAGGGAACGCAAAGTAAGGCAAAGCAACAATAAAAACAATATGAGAGGCCAAAAACAGAGGCAGATCAGAAGGCAGAGACTGGGGCATTGCCGTAGATCAATGGTATCAGAGGTATGCAGATCAAAGTGAGAAGCAGCGCCAGAGGCACATCTCAAGTCTGAAGCAGAGGCATAAAGACCACAGAGGCAGCGCATCTCGTATTGTGACCTGCGGGTGTCCAAGAGAAAGTACGAAATTCAGATTGGAAATGATCATTCCATTTCGGATTCGATTTAACGATGATTCTGCAAATTTGGTGAAATGCTCCGGCAGCATCCAGCGCAGCATCCAATCATAGAATGGTGGAGTGTTTTTCTAGTGTAGAGAACTCATAGTTTGAATGCCGCGTGCCCTGGAAAGCTCTAAATGAATTAGCAAAGTGTCGTTATAAATTAAAGAGCCAACAAATGATAGACCACGACGAGAGGGATACCCAGTAGTCAGGGGAAGTGTTCAATAAGCGTATTATCTAGAACACACTGAATGCTCAATATGTAGGCCAATAGGCCCCTGCACTTTGTGCTTAGAGGGCAGCAAAATTAAAATATATGTATATTTTCAGCTCGAAGTACATTCATTTTTCATTCCAAAGTGTCGAGACAAGTTACGAGCCAAGAAGCTGAGCGAATTAAAACTTATTATACCCTGTACACTGCAGTCAGAGCTCATACTATAAAAGCTCGCCATAGACCTTATATACCCGCTTCTCTGTTCTTATTAGCAGGGTATTCAATATAATTTTCATCAGAGTAAACATTTCAATGGGCTGTAATTGCCTCGCTTGCCCGCCCGTTCGCTCATTGAAATTTATGGTTCTGTTCGGGCGATATCTAAAACAGATTATTCATAAATTATTATCTGCCAAAACACTGAATTTTTACGTACAGTAAGTACTGGCCAAAATCTTATCGGCCCTATCAGTATTTACATACATACAGAAAGTGTTCAGGGGCTTGCAACAAAAATTCTATTGGATTTCAACACACCCGCCCCATTTACATGTCGACCGGCAAATGGCTTTTTGAGGAATTGGAAATAGGAATTTACCGAAACATTTTATTTGCCTTTCGGGTATGTGTGGCATTGGTATTTATCTGTTTTTGCACAAATATTTGGTGCTTCGATGACCAGCTGACCAAAAACCCAAACAGAACTCGAACATGTTGTTGCAGTAGTTTATGGTCTGTCCGTGTATCTAGCAGATAAATAATCATTGCATTAGCCGGTCGACATCGTTGGCGCTGCGGCTGCGGCTCCTACCGCGAAACGTGACACTTGGCTATCAGATGTGGCACCGTTGCTCTAATGGCTGTGTGTGTGTGTGTTTGCTTGTTTGTATGTGTGTGTGGGGGGCTTGCAGCAGGTGGACGAACGTGTGGAGGCGAAGGTTGCCTAGCGGTTGTGACCGGATCAACCCTCTCCCCCGTGTGAAGCTGTTCTCATCTTTTCTCAATTCTCCGATTACTTCTGCGGTAGGCTACCGACTTGTCGCCCCAACCGCCCCTGCTTGTTTGACTTTCCATTGAATCCAAAATTGAGGGGGGTATATGCTCGTACAAGCCCAAAACCGGCTGCCCCTTAGCCATTTAACAAGTTTCGTTCATTCGAATCAATTAGCGGCCAAAAACGATCGGCCACAAGCGTCATCGAAGCCAAAGTCTGACGTTCGTGCTGCGCTGCGTCGCGATTACTTATGTTATGCTTATGTTAATTGGCCCCCAAGCCCAAACCCACCGCCGTCCATGCAAATGAGTGAGTGAGCGGCAGCCACTGTAAGCCCACTGTTAACTGTTAACAGAGCGCTCGAAAGCTCGCTACGGTTCGCGTCCCGTCAGCCACGACATGTCAGAACGTGTCTGTAACCCGAGCGAAGCGCACGTGTCGAATAGCTACAGTTCGTGTAACGCGGAAGAACTCAAGCTGAGAGGCGAAGCGAGAGAACAACAGCAACAAAGCAGCCACAGGAGCAGGAGGAGCGCAGCAGCTGGGCAGGAGGAGAGCCCCAGCAACGAGTGTGTATGTGTATGTGCGAGGGGAGTGCGTGCGAGAAGACATCTTGTGTAACCTGTGGAGGGGAAAGCTAAGAAAGCCCCAGAACTCACCACAGTCCATGCGAATCGGATTTCTGCTCGTGCGAGAACATTTTCACGCGCCGCTCACAACGTAACGGTACGCCCGCAGAGGCAGTTGTGCCCCGTCCAACATTCAAGCGGAGTCCGTGTGCATGTGTGTGTGTGACTCCAACGGTGTCGTCTAGTTCCCGTTACACTAATGGGAAAGTGAGAGTGGACTCTCTCTCTCTATCGAAGCAAATAGTAAACAAAGCTTAATCAGTTCTGGGAACATAATAATATCACGAAGTGTGAAGAGTGCCAAGCCAAAAAAATCAGCCAAAAATCATAGATAATTCTGTTGAAATGTTCGCGAACAGAACTATAAAACCAATTGAGCGAATTAAACTCTCAAAGGAGAGAAATGAAGACAAGTGTTTGAGGGTCCGGGAATAACTGTTGCTTGTCGCGCACAATCACTCAGTAACAGTAACAGTTACAGTTACAGTTACAGTTAAGAGTTTCCGTTTGTGGTTGTGTGCTTGTGTTGGGCATGAGGCCCACGTGTGTATGTGTGTTGCCTAAGCGCCTCCAATCAATGCAAAATCCGTGCATGTTGTACACCTCTACAGGGTAGCAAGGAGTTGCTTAGTTGCATATGAGAGTAGATGGAATGCTTAGGCTTTGTTTAGCATAATTCAATTCATAATTCATAACCTCATTCTCATGAGGTTGCTTGCCGTAGACCCGTTACAGGGTATCAGCCAGGTCGCAGCCAGGTGACACTGAGAGAATACTGACCAGCAAGAACGTGTCTGTTGGCAAGGCACAAACATTGGAATAGCAAAAAATTGCACAAAAACAAAATAATTCTTAAATAAAATTTCGTTTTTTATTTGCACGAGCGTCCGTCTCTCCCTCTCCCTCTCTCACTCTCTCATCTCCCTTTCTCTTTCTGATTTAACAAGCAACTCAAGCAATTCACAGAAATGCAAAAGTTTTGGTTATTTATTTATTTATTTTTTTTTTTTGCTGTGGAGTGCTTTGCCCCTACCACCACTGGCATGTCGTAGAAATACCTTTTCTTTTGTACAATTAAAATGAATGCTAATTATGAGCTTGTTTGTCCGTCAGTCGCCGTGACATTTTCACAACTTTTCATTTAATTGTTGCGCTTGTTAGGAGAAAAATCAATTTGAATCGAGGCGAAACGCGTGTGCAAAAGAACTGTGAGTGAGTGAACGAATACGAACGAACTCCAATATACATAAGCTGAATACCTGACGAATGCAAAATTATGCTAATTTTGAGTTGGTATACGCAATGTCAATGAAGACTAAGTCAAGTTTTAAAAGTATTTCATAAATCCAGTTTGATTTTATTTGTTTTTATATTATGGTTTTTGTTACGATGGTCAGATGCCGTTTGAGGCCTAATAAAAATCAATAAACAATACAAAAGCAAAGCCGTAAACAAATAAAAAGGAGATTAACAACAACCAAATGCAACAAAAAGTGAACAAATTAAAGAGATTTACCAATTAGTAAGCGTAACATCATTCAAACAGCAGAGGAAATCACAAATCAAAGAAGATATAAGACGAGAATTCTACAATGTCCGAGCACGGCGACAACAATGGTGGCGATCCATCACAGCAGGCGGGGTCCGGAGCGGAGGGCGAGGCCATGGGCGAGAATAAAATGAAATCGCGCCTGCGCAAGGGAGCCCTGAAGAAGAAGAATGTCTTCAATGTGAAGGATCATTGCTTCATCGCGAGGTTCTTCAAGCAGCCCACCTTCTGCTCGCACTGCAAGGACTTTATCTGGTAAGTGAAGGAGGATCTATCCACCCGGAGACACATATGTACATATTTGAGTGTCCCCTCTGTCCAGACAATCATTCTTCCATGCCCATGCTCATGCTCATGCCCATCCCCAAACCCACATCAATGGCGGGCACTTGTGGGTCTACACGTGCATTGCAGATAAGCTTTGGCATAACAGCAGACAAACGCAAGCAGGGAATCGATAAAATTCTATTGACAGGGCAAACCGAACAAAGCAAAACCACGAAGAAGTGGCAGAAGAAGAATAAGTGGGTAGGTAGGAGAAGTGGAAATGGAGAAAGCAAACGCCAAAAGAGAGGGAAATAAAAACATATACTAAAATTCAAGTCATGGCATTTCAATGGGATACTTACGTTGTTTGTTTCCTACCTTTTCCGCTGATGAAAACTTGGAAGGTAAGCGTGGGCGAGGGGAGGGGAGGGCGAAAAGTCAACCTGTGCCATGTTTAATTTAGGCAAAACCCTGGGAAATCTGTCTTAATCCATTGTTGGCCCTCCCCTCTAACAAAACGAAACAACGAAGGGGAAAACACCACGAAACAAACAAAAAATGGATGTTGAAATTATATGAGGAAAGACGTCTGGGTCGGGGTCATGGTCAGGGTCGTGATTCCGGTGGCCTGTTTACTTTTTGGTAGTCCTGGCAGTAACTTCCTGGTGCCAGAGCTTTCTTTTGAGGGGATTATAAATCAATTTCATGCGCATTAAGTTCCCATTCGAGTCCACATCACCACCCACTCCTTCTGAATAGTCTTTCGAAATAGTCGAATTTTGAACTGAATTTCTGAAATTTTACAGCGGTTATCAATCGGGATATGCCTGGATGTAGGTATATTTTGGAATATTATCTGCGCATATATGTATATATTCAGTATATATTGAGTACTGCTAGAATATCATGGTCATGGTCCACTGGAACTGCATTTGAATCATTCACAGTATTCGCTTGAAGTTTCCTTACTTTCCCCACTGAGAGAAAACTTCATTGCAAATTCTTGTTGCAATTTTGAGCAGCTTAAAGAGCTTCAATTTTCTAAGCCCTCAGTTCAGTTTGAGCCTCCCATAAAAGTCGAATATATTAAACGAAACGTACACCTCACATCCCACAGACTAATTAATTCCACACTTAATATTCATTGTCAGAAGTGCGCCCCTCCCTCAAAGGGCACACTTTGACGAGCAATTTCAATGATATTAATTCATATTTAATAAGCTAAAACTCTCTGCCACACGCTCTCTGACCTCCAGAAGAGCAGAGAGAGTGTCTTAACGCCTGAGAGCTGCGTTGACAATTTAAAGTCCCCGCCTAACTAATGAATGGCATGACTTTCATTGACTAATGGCGCAACGGGAAACATCTGCGAGTCTCTTCTTCTGATGCTGCCACAACATGACGGTAATAATTATATTAATTGCTGCTTAAAATGCGCCAAACAGCAGCCAGAATCGATCTATGCCTTTCAACGGTGAAAATATCGTGGGGCGCCAAAGGCAGAAATTGAAAATAAAAAAAACACGAAACCAAAAGAAGCCTGACCAGGGGGCTGTGGTGGAGATGTGTGCAGGGGGAAGGCAAGTAAAGTGGCGGATAGGCAAACAGTACCACAGCCACTGCCAGTGCTTCATTATTACACGTAATTAACGCGCTTTGACAGCAATATCATCAACAGCAACAGCAGCAGCAGCAGCAGAAACATGGCAACAAGCTTCGCCTTGCCACACTTTGCCCCTGCCACGCCCTCGCTGTATTCGCCTTTTTTGGGTTGCAGCTAATTAACTTCGGTTTTTGTTACCGTTTTCAGCTCCACTTTGCCGACATTTAATTAATAGTGTGGGGACTTTGGGGGCACAGACACACAGAACTACATACACTTAACGTACGAAAACGCATTGCAAAAAGGCGTTGCAGGCACGTAATGTGTGTGGGGCGTAGGGAAGGAGATGGAGGAGGAGAAGGTAAAGACCACAGGGGCAACCGCCTTCGTTAGCGGGGCAGCAGGTGCAACATTTTCCATGTTTATGGCACGTCATTTGCATTATAGCACAAAACCACCAACAAAAAATGCTGAAGCGGCATAACTATGACAAACATGAAAAATATGATAAGGTATTGGAGTATTTTCAAATAAATGCATTGAATTAAATTGTCTTGCGCTGAGTTTTGGCCAAACTATTGGCATGGGTTGAGTTCCAAGAAACGGAAAACTTTAGCCCACATGGAACTCTGAAAACTTTGTACAACAAGATACAGAAATAAGGGGGGCACTCTATTAAGATCAGATCTAAGGCTTCCTAGAATACGCTTCCGTGTGGAAATTATTGCATTTCTCCACTCATTCAATAATACGTATGTTGCACTCCGTTGGATTCGTAATGAAATCTTGCTTTGTGATAGAGGTAAATATTACTCAACTTGAACTGCAATGCTTTGCAAATTCACGGATTTTGCCATGCGAAATTATCTTTAATGGCACATCAACGTTCAGCTTTTACGCTCGTTCAATCTGATATTTGTTGCACTTCGTTGGTTCCCTAATTAAATCTATTTGCAGGAGAGAGGGAGCGATAGATATACATTTCAGTGGAAATCCAATTCAATGCATTTTCAGGATGTTTTTAAATTTGTATTTTATTTAATTAACTTGAATTCCAAACATTCGCATCCCTTTCACGTATTTTTCCCCTGAACCGTGAATCGAGGTTTTTCCCGCATTCTGTGGGGAAATATTCGCTTAATTAAAATACATGAAAAATGCATAAAAAAACAGATGGGGGAATAGGGCTGCAGTACACAAAAAATGATTTCATGTTTGGGGATATAAAAAGATTCATAGCATAACTGCGGGCGCGGGAAAATTGCTTTTCCACTTCATTTGATTCACAAACAGAGGCAAAAAAAAAACGACACAAAGGCAGTGAGAAAATAGAGCGAAAACAGCGAAAAGCCAGCAGCAGACAAAGAAAAACAGAACTAAATGGAAAATGCGGGAATAACTAAAGCAAATGTGAAAAAAAAAAAAAATGGGAAAATAAACCATGGGACAGTTTTGTACTCGTTTCTGTGGCAATGAAAAGTCAGTCAATTTGTGGGGCGATTGTCGAATTGGTTTCGACGTAATCGGATCCACTTTTCCCCGGCTCTCAACGCAGTGACCGAAAGTATATCCTCCCCCGCCATGCCGCCATAAAAAGTTGTAAACTTTGTCAATTGCAGCCGCAGTTAAAAGTTAAGCGAACAAATTTGAAATGCCCCAAAGTTTGACCGACCACCTACATAAAATACTTATATACTAATCGTATAAATCAGTATGTAAGTCCCTCTCGTACGAGCGTACTGTGCATGGTAATAATTTGCCTTGTCCCAATTGCAGCGAATATGAGTTGTGAGTGGGACAGGCAGCCAGCTGGCGGGACAAGGAGCAGTGTTGGCCGGGTTTTGTGGTCAAGTCATTTACGGTTTGCGGCAGACCCCCGCATAGAGAGTGAGAGCGTGGAAAGCCTTTCGCCTGCGGGCAGGTCACGTAAGCCCCGGGACTCATAACCGTTTCGGGCAGGTTTTGGCCATTACCCATTAGTGGGACCCATTGAGAACCCAAAGAGCTTCAAGTTATGTGATAAAGAAAATGTTATAGTACTCCTGTAATTTTTTGTCACGTAAATTCAGTTTATGCACCGTTCCGTCATAAATCACGTGTCACACAAACGGGGAACGATAACTGTAATCTATCGCTCATTTTCTGCGATGCATAGCGTGTGAATATCAAATTGTTGCCTGCCACTCGTCTCTTTTGCAACGAGAGAGCGTGTTAGCTGACTTTTAGCGAGTCAGCTTCATAGATCATGATTGAGCTTATCCCAAAAGTTGTTTTCCTCCGCCCTGTTCCAGCCCACACGAACAATATTGATTAATTTTCAATGCATTGCCAGCCGCAATTACATGTACTATAGTATTGATTAATTGCAATTTAAATATTGATGCTAATTGAGACATATGGTCAGACATGAATGCAAATTAACAATTCTCTTTTTCTTCCCTTCTGTGTGTGTTTGTGGTGTTTTTTTTTGCAGGGGATTCGGGAAGCAAGGATTTCAGTGCCAAGGTAAGGATCGCCCTCCACACCAACACCAATCTCCCAAGTGACAACTAACTCTTCATCCTCTTCTGCCTGACTGCAGTTTGCTCCTACGTGGTGCACAAGCGATGCCATGAATATGTCACCTTCGTATGCCCCGGCAAGGATAAGGGCATCGATTCGGTAAGTGTGTGTGCCACAATCAACCATTCACAATCCATCCATATATATAATACATAGATTGACATGCATACATAAAATATATATAAATACATATGGGCATTTCCTAGATACATATGTATGTACATATGTATATGTAAGTAATATATGTATGGAATATATTAATATTATTATTTAATAAGCAAGCTTTTAGCCGCAGCCTTATGCACTGGCTGTCTGTCTGTGTGCGTTGCATTTCCATGTGCGAGCCAGTTCCAAAGGAGCCAAAGGATAGCACATTTACATTGCATACATTTTTGGCGCTACTTTCGCCGCTCTGCCATCCCGTTTCCGGTGTGCTCGCCTTTGTGTGGGATGCTCTGTCAAATTAAACTGTCATTTGGATTTTCGGTTATGCTCAGCACTGTCCTGTCCCGAATGTGCCTGGATGCCTGGGTGTCTGTCTGTCTGTTGTCCCAACCCATCATGTCCATCCGCCTGCCCGACGGCCTGTCAACTTTGCTTTGGAACCTGAGCACAGACTCTCTGGCTGCAAATGCGAATGCTCCTCCTCCTCCGTCTGATTGTGTGCTCGTCCTCCGTTTCCTCCTTTTGTCGTTGGGTTGTGGAAAATGACAGTTGGGGATGCTCCGCATGCCGCAGTTTTTATATATTCATGCAGCTCTCTCTCCCTCTCTAATGCGGTCATATCTCTGCTTAGGCTTGTCCGAGAATAAATGTGGGTCGGGATGTATGTGGGGCAACAAAATATGACAGAGAGAGATGAGTAGGATTGATGGGAATGGGAGAAGCCTCGTTGGATACTTGTTGGTTTTTTTTAGCCCCCAACATACGGCCGCCTCAAGATGGTTCCATTCTGAAAACTGTTTTTAAAGATGTTGCCCTTGGTTCTGGTAGATATATGTAGGCTCTGCAATTCTCATCGTATGATCTGTAAACGCTCTGTCTGATTGAAAAACTCGCACGTGGTAATGCTCTCGCTGTTTAAGAAACTGGCACCTGGCAATGCCGGGTGCTTCGAATTAAGTATAAAATAAATAAAAAATAACACTAGCATTACGTTGAACTTATCATTTGTTTGTCATTGTGCTCTGTTTGATTTACCATAAACCAAATTTGTACTTTGTATTCTTTTCCATGTGCGCATCTACCACTCAAACAAACAAAAAAACAAAAAAAAAACAAAAAAACAAAACAAAACAAACCAAAACCTCAATTTGCTGTCCAATTCACGCTGTCACGACAAAACACGCACCCAAAAACCCCAACGACAAACGAAATCAATAATCGAAAATCGTCATAATTGAAATTTAAATTGTTGCAAATATCACAACAACAAACCAAAAAAAAAAGGACTCACCAAAAACTCAACACAATTTCGAACCATTCACATATGCAGGACCCACGTTCTGTGACCATTGTGGTTCGCTGTTGTACGGCATCTACCACCAGGGTCTCAAATGCTCAGGTAACCTCCGAAACCCCCAACAAAAAAATCCCCAAAACTATCTAGTCTCCCTCCATCCCCTCTATAAGCTTCCGTCTGCCATCTATCTTTCCCCCAATTCTCTCTTCTACCCCTTTGAGTACTCTCCACTCTCTATTTATGCTGCTGCTCTTTCGATTCCCTCTGTCGCTGTTCTTTTAATCCTTTTCCATAAAACCCTGTTTGACAGTGTAAATAATGATGATACTACCACCCACCCCACTGGGGGATCCTATGGATGTCTGTGTGTGTTTGAGTATAAAATTAAATTTTAAACGCAATTTGACCTGGTCAACAGTTACCACCAAAGCCAACTACAAGGAGCAACTTTTCTGGGGAGGCCTAAAAAGTTAATTATTTAAATTGTTTTTACCTTCATATACACACACATACATACATATATTTGTATGTATGTACTCTTTCGTACTCCTCTGCTCCACTCCCCACTCTCCCCTATCACAATCCTTATCCCTGAGGTTCACCTTTTGTTTGCTTCCAACCGAAACAGGACTGAAAGTTTTCCCTGGCTTCTGTTGTGGCACGTGTAGCATGAGCCACGCCTGCTCTGCCCCTGCCCTCTGGCCTGTCCCGCTGGTATCCAATTCATTTGCATAATTATGCACATGCTACCCGTAGGGGCATCCAAAAAGTGGGGGCAGCGGCATCCAGCGGGGCTCCGGCTCCCGCCCGAACAATGCTTATCATTTGTTCGGAAATGTTTTTGTGCGCTTTGCCCCGGATATAAATATGATTTTAATGTATTTTTGGGGCCAGAAAAAAAGAAATGGATAACTACTGCGGATAAAAACTTTCTTTTAGTGCTGCCTTAGGACATGCTACCACAAAAGCCTTTCTCTCGCACGTGTCGCTGGCTGTGATGTGATTCCCCTGGTAGCCTGGTAACCTGGTAGCCCCGATGGCGAAATGGAACTGTAACTACTTTTCCTTTTTGCGCGACATGCTTCAGTGGGAAACCAATTCGTACTTAAATACCCAGCACCCGTCGTAACGGAGGCAACGATAAGCATCGCAAAAAAGACAGTATTTCCCTCCAATTGGAGTGGCTATGGACCATCTGTGCCAGAAACTGTGAGCATATCTCATGGCAACAGCCCCTTCCCAGCCCACTCAAAACTTGACAAATCTAGTGCTTATCAATTGCACACACGCTCGAGTGGCTTTCCCTCTGTGCCACAGTCTGTCTGCCTGTGTAATACAATCTGGCTCCAATGTGCTTTAATGTGGCCTTTGACGTTATTGTGTGTGTGTGTGTGTGTGTGCGATTGTGTGACATCTTTTTGGCACTTTATTTGTTTCCTTGTTGCCCAAAATCGGATCAAATTCTCTTTGACGCATTGACACAAACTGGCAACAACAGAGGCGTCTTTTGGTGGGGCAGACAGACAGACAAATCAATTTCTGGCTAGAGCTCAGCTTCACACCTGTTGCCACCCCTCTCCCCATCCCGAAATGCACTGCCCTTCTTCTCGATTACAAAATCAAATGAAAATGAAAATTCTATCCACTTGATGGCCTTTTCCCGAGTGAGGGTAAATACACTGTGCATCCAATTTGTGCTCAAGCGGAAATTGAAAAGCAAATGAGTTTGTCTGCCACTCGCCAAATGATGCCAGATGGTGTGGCGCACAGATTCCATCTGATCCGATTCGATACGATTCCCCCGGAGACCACAATCGCTGCCCCTCACTCCCGGACAAATTTCATGACTCCTCTCGCGCCATCTAAGCCACAAACGGCTCTTATCTGCGTTGTCGGTATAAATGACATGGCAATTTATATTTGCCAATGTCTGCCACCGATCCCCTCCCCTCTCGCATTCGTTATCTGGGGCATCGGTTGTTAATATGCTGGCAGTTATATTATACGACTACGGGTCGACGTCGTATTTGGTAGCGTTTTATATATCAAAAATTACTTTCAATGGAGTCGATGGAAGCTGAAGCTGCCATCCAGCTACCAGATGGCCTTGGTGGAGGGGGTAGGCGGTGCTATAAGAAGTGGCGAGGGGTGCAGCTATGTCCTGGGGAGGAACGAGGAACCAAATTTGTTAGACGACAGCAGAAAGAAGACAAAAATTCGGTGATAAATTCTTGCTGCAACAATTTTTTTCCAAATACGGCACGTGGCAAATGAGGAGGCGTCCAATGTGGGCGTGTCAGCCAAATGGTTGTACGCGTGTTTGTGTGCGTGTGTGTGTGGGGGTAGGGCGAAAGATTTATTGGAAAAGAGGCAAGAGAAGGGGGAGGTGTTGAATGTGACGCAATGATAAGCAATGTCACGGCTTTGGTGGAATGAGAGTTGCACGACCAGAGAAATAAACCCAATTGGAGAGGACTCCATCGAATGTCAGACAACACCTGTGGCTAGGCAAGGTCACGAGCTGACCTTCTGTTTGGGATTCATGGAAAATCATTGCAACCAGGGACCTGCAGGGCTACCGACATACTCGTACATATGTGTACCACCCCCGTTGCTCAGGCACCCAGTATGGTGTGTAGCACCCATGCTGCCCCATCAAAGTAGGCAACACTTTTGCTGCCACAACCAGGCCAGGCAAGGTCACCCAGGCGACAGCCTTGTGGTATGAGGGTGTAGGAGAGGGAGGCGTGCCGTAGCGTGGCTTGGCGGCCCCCTCTGTTTGTCTTTTGGTGGAAAAGGGATATTAATGGCTGAGCAGCTGTTGAACCTTGGCAGCAGCCAGCCAGCGAGAGACAAACAACAAATTGCCTTCCGAAAAAGGCTGGGGGAACGAAAGGGGAAGGAGAGGGAACTACTCAGTGGATGCTCATGCATGCGCATAATGCTATCAAATGTCCTTGCTTACCAGGCCACCAATCCTCGACCACCCACAAACTAAAGACTCAACTGTGTCTGTACGTGTGTGTGTGTGTTTTTGTCTGTGAGAAAGAGTGTGTGCTGCCACCCGCACACATAAAAAGGGAGCGTCTAAAAGTTGCCCGTCAATGTCACGCGTGTGTGTGTGTGAGTGAGTGTGCGGGGGGAGCTGGGGCCGGGAAGCTGGTGGATTAGGCAGCAATTGTCTTTTGACAGGGCATCGGCAGCCTTAAAAGGATATTTGTGTTATCCTCCCAGCAAGGACCTAGGCACTCTGCACTAGGTCCCTCCCACTTCTCGTCCCCCTGCAGCACCCAGGAACCGCATTAGCATAGCACACCCCAGCGTGTACCCAGCGCTCATCTAATTCCACCTACTGCGACATGTGACGTTCAACTTGCAACTCAATTAGCGTGGCGATTATTTCATTAGCCGCAGCAGAACCCGAACCCGAACCAGAACCAGAAGCAGCGGAAAACTTTTTGCACTTTGCATTTGCCGGATGATGTTCTTGTCGAAAGGCGAAAGTGGATTTAATAAGAGTTAGTTAGTTAGTTGGTTAGTTGTTGCTGTTGAATTGGAGCGGAAGTGAAAGAACCTCTCACTAGATGGCTGCCTGAAGGAGCATAACACATACTTATGTAGGGTGTAGGTGCCGGAAAGAGAGCGAGCGATCTTCTCTGTGCGTTGCTACAAGAACACCTGCTGAAGAGTGCCTGCTGAAGAGAACCACTGCTGAAGAGCGCCTGCTGAAGAGAGCCACTGCTGAAGAGGCTGCTAAAGAGAACTTACAAGCATTGCATGCGACAAAACGCTAAACGATTCATACAACAACAAAACAGAATAAGGAAAAACCAAAACCAAAAAGAATCGAAACAACGACTGTTACTCACTTTAGATTTCTGTTTTGCTCATTCTCTCTCAGTGTGTCCTTTTTGTCTCATTTTGGCTTGTGCTCGTATTTTGTTATGCAATTGCACCTCAATTATTCTCAATTATCGTTATTCATCCTTTGACCACACACAAGCACACATTTAGTATGTATAATCACACAGACAGGCTTACTTTTCTGCGAGCCCAGCGTTAATGTTCCATTAGTTTTCTCTTTCATTATTCTTCTTCTACAACTTGTTCCACCTGTGGTTCCGCTCCCAACGCTCCAAATCCTCGATGCCACCACTAGGCACACCAAATGCCCCACAAATGGCAGAATGTCACCTTTCTGTCGCCGATGTTCTGCGATCATTGCGGCTCTCTGCTGCACGGCATCACGCACAAGGGTCTCAAGTGTCGAGGTAATGTCGAACGGAGATAGAGAACGGCGTATACTACCCATCCCCTATACTATCCTCTCAATTGCACGCACAAACTCGCTGTCTCTGTCTCTGTATCTGTATCTGTCTTTTGTTAGTGTGTCTTTCAATCTCTTTGTATACACTTGCAGAGGTGCATATATATTATATTTATATATATATATTCTACATATATCAACAATGTCTGTCTGTTTCTGTAAACTGAAAGTCGCTCAGTTTGAAAATTTCCATCAAGAATAAGTCACCTGCAAGGGTATCAACAATTTCGGACACCGAAATGAAACTTTTCCCTTTTTGGTTTGCGGCGCGGCACAGGCTTTTGTTTCTCATTTGCATTTGCATTTTTGATGCGGTCGCTTGTCGCAGAGTTTTTAGAATATTAGAATGTTGCAATTTACAATTAGCGGCGCTTTGTTCCCGCTCAAGTGTGCACTTGCCCTCCCTCCTGTGTGTGTCTGTGTGTGGCTCTGTGTGTGTGCCGGAGTGGGGGGCGTATCTTTATGAATGTTGCACACTTGAGCGAGTTCCTGTTGTTGTTGCTGTTCTTGTTGTCACTGCAACTGTTGACATGCTCATGCTGCGTCTATGCCTGCCCAGTGGCTGCATTTGTGTTTTCTTTTTCTGTTTGCACTCTTAAAAACTTGTTAATTTTCATGTTATTTTCACGTTGCCTTTGTTTGTGGGACTCAATTTGCACGTGCATGCCACAAATTGCGAGTCTGTCAACCACTGCATAAATATTTGCGAACTTTAATTGTGCCATACCGCCCCGCATACGTGCCTGAATGTGTTTGCCCATACGTTTATGGATTGGCTTTCCGCTGCTTATCAGAGAATTTTCCAAGCCATTTACCAAATATGGGTGGGGAGGGGTATCCTTTTGCGCACACAAATAATTACGCAACGTTGCCCCAAAGACCGAGAACTCAACTCGACCGAATGCAAATGTGTACGAGAGGGAGATAATCATTTGTGCTTGTATTTTTTTATTTGTATTATGCACGCTCAATAGCGTTTTATGATTGTGTTTGGCCTATCGTACCTGAAGAATAACGGTAAGGATAATCACGCCTAGAAGAGCTTTCGACACATATCAAGCTCTCCATTCGATTACTTTTAGAATTCGTCCAACTGTTCCCCCCATTCGTCATCGTCCAATGTTCCTATTTAGAATATTCAGATTAAAAATCACACAAATCGAATTATTTGGTTCCAAATACGAGTATATATCCGTATCGTTATAAAACTTCTGCTGAATAGCCAATTGTTTCACTTACATTAATATACCACAATGGATGCACGTCTGTTCTGTGTACTTGTTGCTCTCCTACCGATGATCCATGGCTCTGTTACCAGTTAGTATACCGCTTAAAATTCACTTGATATACATACATATATGTCATAATGTTCACCCGTAAACGCATCAATCTTTAAGGATGTGGCGGTGGTGGAATTTGCGTCGAGAAACTATCTAGATGCCTCACAGTGCTTGAGTCCAGTGCGTGCTATTATAGTGAAAAATGCTGTGGGACAGACTCCATTCTAAATGCCCCAAAGGATATTGTACTGCGAAGTTATTTTCGACCTGGAAAAGACATATTTGAATATGCATGAGAGACAGCGATCTACAAATTGTTAAATATCCACACACAAACCATTAAATAATTGCAATTTAAAATGGTTTGTAGGCTGTGTAACGTTCGAGTTTTAATTCCGAGGAAATTCCAGTTGGGTCACCCTAACTTATGAGAAAAACTTATGTGGAGAAAACCCAGCACTCAATCGCGTATTAGCTATGCTATGCCAAGCATTCAATTTCCATTCTCGATACTCTAAATAAAAATCAAGCGAAACGAAACCATTTGGTATGCTGCACAGCCATATATGTACAGATAGACAGTGCCTTGGAAATGCCAATTTAACGAGAGCCATCAGAGTGAACGCTGATGATGGCCAACACCAGCACCTACGTGAAGAACTGGCTACTTGCCGCCTTTCTCCTGCCGCTGCTTGGCTACTGTCAGGGATTGCACAGCTGTTAGCATGCATCCGCCTCGTGGCATTCAATAGTTTGATTTTTCGATACATTTTGCAGACTGTGGGCCACAGGGAGTTTGCCTGCAACGAAATGCTCCCTGCACCCTCGTCGTGGCCAATCCGAACTGTGAGGAGCGCGAGAAATGCTGCGTTTTTAAAAGAACTTCTGATAATGTAGCGCATGGAATACCAGATGAGCTTTTCTACTATAACCAGCTGGCGATTAATATTACTGGTCTGCCCAGGGGCGTTGACGGAGGAGGCGTTTGAAGTATTGTAATAAATATGATCCTCCATACGAATGGATTGCCAAAGCTTATACCGTAAAGTTCCATTCCTCTGTTTGGGGTAACTGAAAACCAAATCAAAGGAAAAACTTTCCATGCAGCAGCTATAAACAAAATGTGGGAAATGTCTGTTGATATGTAAAAAAAAAATAAAAGATATCAAAAGCACGCAAACGAGTGAGGGAAAAATAAAAACAAAACATATTTATTCAGATGCAGAAATACTGGCACAGCCACATTATGAAGCATAATACACACAACACCCACACACATTCAAGCCGAAAAAACACAGTCAGTGAGGCATACCGAGTATCTGTGTTTGTTTTCGTTGCTACGCCAATGGGAAAAAACCCTTTATCACCGTTGTTTGTGTGTGTGTGTGTGTGTGTGTGAATACTCCCATATTTTTGTACATTCTGTGGAACAGGAGTCTGTTTTTGTGCCCGTTTGCACTGCAAGCGAAACTTAAATATTATGTATGCGCAGCGATGGAAGGAGGCTGAACATTACGTATACGCCGCGTGCGCTTGAATGACACTAAGACCCAGGCTGGGCAGAACTGAAAGTAATTTTACACATGACCAAAGCGGAATGTAATGAACGGAAACAGAGAGAGAGAGGGAGAGGGGAGAGGGGAGAGCAGCAGCCAAGGAAAGAACAGAGATGGGACACGGATATGTGAAAGGAACTGAAGCAATCAACACAAACAGGATGATGCACGATGATGCCCGCAGATGCTGATGATGATGATGGGAACGGCGAATGCGAATCCGAATCCGAATGCGAATGATGGCCAAAGTGCTTTAATTGAAAAAAAAAAACTGTGCTCCGTGGAAAATGAATTACAATTCGATTTTCGCAAATAATTTCCAATTGAACGCTCCCACGAGTGTACGAGTACGAGTCCGAGTGCTGCTGTCAAAACCAGTCGCCATGGCAGTCCCAGTGCCAGTGGCAGCTTCGAAACTATGCAACAGTTTGTCAATTTCCGCTGGCAACAAAACGAAACGCCAGCAGCAAAGGGGCTGTAGGGTGGGGTATGCTTTATATGTTGTACATTCTGATTGGATTCCCCTTAATCGGTTGGATAACATCAAGGTAAAAATGAATATCCAGCGATAGCGAGGTAAGTACTCCCCTTGAGTGCACATCTGTGTGCGTGTGTGTGTGTGTGTGTCTACCACATCTTTCACTTTTCCCCCCGACTACGGTGGCTATCCAACCCGAACTATTCATCAGCCTTTCCTTCCTTCCTGGCCTTAAACTCCATCCTATACTATCGCCTCTAACTTGAAATATTCCACAATCCCTTTAGCATGTGACATGAACGTGCATGCACGCTGCAAGGAGAACGTGCCAAGCCTCTGCGGATGCGATCACACGGAGCGACGGGGACGCATTAATCTCGTGATCAATGTCAAGGAGAACCTCCTCACTGTCCAGAGTAAGTGCCAAGTGCCACATAGACCCTGCCACCGACCACAGACTACAGACTGTAAGTCGCAGTTGCAGCCACAGCCACAGCCACGCTGCTGGTAAAATACAAATTTAAGCCGCTTAAGCATTGTAACCAATTATGGCGTTGTAGTCAAAGTTTTTCCCTTTTCTGGCTATTCCCAGTTTGATTCTTTTTCCCAAACAGTCTGCCCTGGGGGGAGTGGGCGAAAAGTTTACAGAATATATGTATAAAGAAAGCATGGGTGGAGGGGACCTAAAGAAAGTACGCCCAAGAAGCCGCAAAGTTTTCCAAGCCACGCGCTTAAAATGTTACATCTTCTCGAGTCTTTTCGTCTTTGAATCGTTTGTATCTTCTTTTGAGTTGTGCGGCGGAAGCTGCCGAGACGAAAGTTTGCTGGTTATGCGGCCTTCGGGGGCCTGTCTCCTTGTGCCCCAGCAGGTTCTGGGCAGGCTCTACCCTCGCTCGGCAAATTGCTTGCGATTTGCATTAATTCATTGTGTGCGCTTAAGGAAATTCTTTGTATTCCTGCTGCCACGTTGCTCCTTCGCAACAGGCACAAATGCCACATAATGAATACCAAAACGGAATGCAGCTGCAGAACAAAGGACGCTCCCCACGGGCCTTTACCTACAACCTGCGGGACTGTGATGGCTCTGTTCTGAGACTCGAGAGAATATTTCATATAGTTTCTGTAGTTGTATACATTTATTGAGAGCCCACCACTCGAGTGATTGCGAGACTGATTTATTCACTGTCTAATCCCCATTTTGTTGCACACTGACTGCAGTCATAGAGGGCCGGAATCTCATACCCATGGATCCCAACGGACTCAGCGACCCCTATGTCAAGGTCAAGCTCATACCGGACGACAAGGATCAGAACAAGAAGAAGACACGCACCATCAAGGCTTGCCTGAATCCCGTCTGGAACGAGACCATCACTTAGTGGGTATATCCATGTCGGATCCATTCATCATAATGAAAAATCTTCATCGCTTTCGCAGTGACCTGAAGCCCGAGGACAAGGATCGACGCATCCTCATCGAGGTATGGGACTGGGATCGCACCTCGCGGAATGACTTTATGGGCGCCCTGTCCTTTGGCATCTCGGAGATCATCAAGAACCCCACCAACGGATGGTTCAAGCTGCTCACCCAGGACGAGGGCGAGTACTACAATGTGCCCTGTGCCGATGACGAGCAGGATCTGCTCAAGCTCAAGCAGAAGCCATCGCAGAAGAAGCCCCTGGTGATGCGCAGCGATACGAACACGCATTCGTCCATTTCCAAGAAGGACATGATCCGTGCCACGGACTTTAACTTCATCAAGGTTCTGGGCAAAGGATCCTTTGGCAAGGTCAGTGGTCAGTGGCCAAGTCCGATGCAGATCTCCTCATCGAAGATCATTCTACCGTAGGTTCTGCTGGCTGAGCGCAAGGGCAGCGAGGAGCTGTATGCCATCAAGATACTCAAGAAGGATGTGATCATACAAGACGACGATGTCGAGTGCACCATGATCGAGAAGCGCGTCCTGGCCCTGGGTGAGAAGCCACCCTTTCTGGTCCAATTGCATTCCTGCTTTCAGACACTGGTGAGTGTATCCTCTCAGCACACAAACAACAGCGATGCAATGGTTATTATTTACTCCTCTGCAGGACCGTCTGTTCTTTGTCATGGAGTATGTGAATGGCGGCGATCTAATGTTCCAGATCCAACAATTTGGCAAATTCAAGGAGCCAGTCGCAGTGTACGATGATAAATCTTACCCCATATTTTTGCATGATTTATCTGATGTGCTGTCTTTTCTATTTGCAGATTCTATGCAGCGGAAATAGCCGCTGGACTTTTTTTCCTTCACACCAAGGGCATCCTGTATCGCGATCTGAAACTGGACAATGTCCTACTCGATGCGGATGGACATGTGAAGATTGCCGACTTTGGAATGTGCAAGGAGAACATTATGGCCGAAAAGACGACTAAGACTTTTTGCGGTACCCCGGACTACATAGCACCCGAGGTGCGTCTCACAGTGGAAGATAGAATTGTGGATGAAATTTAATTTGTGGTATATTTGCTTTGCAGATAATCCTGTATCAGCCGTATGGCAAATCTGTGGACTGGTGGGCCTATGGAGTGCTGCTCTACGAGATGCTGGTGGGTCAGCCGCCCTTCGATGGCGAGGATGAAGAGGAGCTCTTTGCGGCCATCACCGATCACAATGTGTCCTATCCGAAGAGTCTCAGCAAGGAGGCAAAAGAGGCCTGCAAGGGTGTAAGTACATATATATATATGGAGATTGAATACGGATTAGAATGGTACAGATGAATGTCTCTTGTTGCATTAGTTTCTTACCAAACTACCGAACAAACGCTTGGGCTGTGGTCCCACTGGCGAGGAAGATGTCCGTCTGCATGCCTTTTTCCGGCGCATCGATTGGGAGAAGATTGAGAACCGTGAGGTGCAGCCACCGTTTAAGCCAAAGATTGTGAGTAGATGGAATACACTTCACTGATGTGATCCTGCCTGAACATACCATTTACTACTCCTCCCCCTCCTATAGAAACACCGCAAGGATGTGTCCAACTTTGACAAGCAGTTCACATCAGAGAAAACAGACTTGACGCCCACGGATAAGGTATTCATGATGAATCTGGATCAGTCGGAATTTGTTGGCTTCTCCTACGTGAATCCCGAATACGTAATTCTCCCATAAATAACTCTGATCTGATCAGTAATAATCCCAAATCCCCGATCTGCGCGTTGTGCCGCCCTTAAATCTCTTTTTGATATTCGATATTAACAGCATTGGCAAATGCAAAAAGACACTTTGTTATATTTATATGTACATCATTTATACGAGTTCATAGAGAGCGATTATCCTTTGTTAAGTTTTCCATTTCTTTTTGTTATTCTGTTATTTATATGTATGTATATTTAATCAATTGTTAAGTTTCAACTGTCTGACAGACCTTCAGTTGTGCAATAATCGAATACTGTTCAACATCTCAAGCCTCCCTCATCTGGAAGCCAAACGAAAGCAATATAAACCATAGCCATAGCGAATGTACCCGCCTCTCCCCCATTTCACTTTCTGTGTAGCATTGTAATGATCCGATCTATCGATTCTGTTCCCATTTTCAAACCACTTTTCGAAGCTTTAAATGTTTAAATATTCCAGATATTCCAATTGAAAGTTCATTTTTTTCGAAGCAAACATCTAAGTGTTGTTTTAGGCAAACATCTGAGTGTTTTGTAGCAAATTAATCGATTCTTAATATATAAATACAATTGGAAATCATATGCATACATACATATGAATGAAAGATCAGAGAAACTAGCAGATTGGAGCTTGAAGTTTGGAGCTTGGGTCAGGTTCAAACGTCATTCGATTGTTGTGTTTGCCCCAGCATTACGATCAAATCGAAGTCGCGTTTAACTGGGTTCGCCAACAAAAAAACAAAAACAGAAAAAAACAAAAGAAGGATAAATTACATTAGAGAAAATATTTAAAGAAAAAACAAAGCAAGCAACACAGCAATTTCCAATTCGGTTAATCAATGTATTCAATGTTTAAGCAGAGAAATATCATAGAAAGTGTAATTTTTGAAATTCCATTAAAATATATATAAATGTGCGTGTAAATTCAATTAAATTTAAATTTGATTTAACAAAGAACAAACAAAACAAAAAAAAAGAAAACATTATTAAGGTATATATAGCGCGCCTATATATACAGCTGGCATAGAGTCTCAATGTACCATAATTAACAAATTGCATAGCAATAAGTTAAGCTTAGAAGATACTTAAAACTGTAATACTATAAAACTGTAAAACTATAAAAAAAAAACTGTAAAACTATAGAACTGTAAATCTGTACTACTGTAAAACTCTTAATTCCCCCCCCTCCCCACCCCAAACAACGGAGGACGACTACGTTAGGACTCCACCCCGTTGGAGATTGTTTTCAAGTTTAGTTAGTACCAACTAAACGTGAAACTAGCTGCTAACTATGGATTAAAGACAATCTACTTTAAGCATCTGACATACATAGTACTCGTATGTGACATACACTCCACCCCCCCGCCCCCTCCCCATATTGTAGTATCGCTATCATTAAGGTACTCGTACATATATGTATTTCCATGACTAGCGACAGCTGAGCTAAGCTTTTGTGCCTCTCGTAGCTAGCTCCGTATCTTTCTCTCATAGCAGAATTCTGGCCACAAGAGGCTACAACTATTTATAGACAAATTATTTAACGCAAACCGTGTAAGAGATGAAAAATGTTTGCCAACTAAGGGAGAATTTGTAGCCAAGCTAACAAGCGTAGGGCACAATAAATTTTGGCAACAAAAAAATCCAACAGAATGGAAAGTAAAAAAAATTAACAGAATTATTGTACACGATAATTCACGTTGGTTGGAGCTTAAAAGTATTTTGAATCACACACACACACACAATACATTTCGATAAATACAAACATAAAGATATAAATTGTATAATTGTATAACTCCGAACTTGAAGCATTTAAACGTTTTCTTTAACTCTCCCAAATTTGAAATCAAAATGTAAGCTAAGTAAGTGAACCAAAATGATCAAAATTACATACATACTGTACTCGTACTCGATCCCCGCCACTGAGGGAGACTATGATTTATCCACAGAATGAGTACTGCTTAAAGTTAAAACCAGAATTTATCGTACTCCGAATGTGAAGATGAAATTTGCTCGTATTTTTAACAAATATATTTAATATATAAACATAACTAACATACACATAATCGATGTACAATTTAGATGTATACATATGATGTGTGTCTGATTTAATTTAATGAATTTTATGACATATTAAAAATGAAAATGAAACAACATTTCCAAGTCTGTTCAAATAATGAGAATTACTCAACTTGAATAGAAAAAAAAAAAAGGAAAACTTCTCGTAATTTTAATTATCGATCTACATAAATATATGTATGTGCATATGTATACATATTATGAGTGCATATTGGTACAACTTACATAACTGCATTCAGTTTTATTTATAGCCAAAATTTTTACATAGCATATTTATATGCGCACTTCTGATGATTTTCAAGGACATTTTTTAAACCAAAGTCTCATACATATATGTATTTTTATTGCATATTAAATTAGTACAAAAAAAAAAAAAACAAAAACAAACAAAAAGATATCTAAATGCATTATATATACGAAATATCGATGTGAAATTATCCAACAACAACAAAATAAGATACGATAGCCACCATTTGATATTTTAGAGAGTAGACGAAAAACTTCCAAATGAAAAACTCTCGAAGAACTATATCTAGAACCAAAGCAAAACTATTTTTACATCTACAGAATGCCCACTACCCCCCCTCTCACTGAATACTCTGAGCAGTCAGTCAGTCACTAACTAAGTATGTATGTATGTACATATGTATATGCTGCGCTATATACATTTACTTAAGCATATATGTATGTATGTGTCATGTAGCATGCCTAAAGGACACTCTCGAATGTAATCTGTAATTTATTGAGCCAAGCCAAACCGACAAAATAAACACAAATAATTCAAACAATCGGATTTGGGCATACCACACACTCACACACAAATGTGCATACTCGTAATACCCGAAAGTAAATAAAAATCTTACTAAATACTAAAACCAAACAGAGTCCCCACAACGGACCGTGTTTATCTATGGAATGCAGGCAAACAGGTATATGCTGTACATATGTATGTATGTTCGGGGTATGATGATTGAGATCAAATCTGGTTTGATGGAAACAAGTATGTTGGGCTGAAATGTATCCTTGGGGATTTACAGATAGAGGGTAAATGCATTATGAAATCAGCTACTTTCTCCAGGTGAAGATATTCCAAATTCGATTCCATGCGAAGGTAGCTGATCACAGCTCTCAGAAAATATACATACCTACATAGATACAATACGAGATATATACAACAGATAGATAAAATGAGAGAGCGAGTCATCCTCATCAGTCGAGGCTTGTTATCATTGATTGCGTTGACAAATTAACATTGATGCGTCCGTTAGTGTTAGATAATCTTATCGAGAATTTTCAGACAATTAGATAGACATGTCCAGGCAAGGCATCGGCTGCCAGTCGCCGCCAGTCATTCATCGACATCAACATCGACCCATCCATCGAGTCAGCCCATCTGTCATGTTCGCATTGAATTTAAGCCGGAGTGAGAGTGCCGGCCCCTGGGAGCTGGACCCGCAGCAGGATATGCCATCACACAGCGATGCGTGCATCTTCCAGAGGAGAATACCACCGGTGGTGATCTTTGTGCTGTACGGCCTGGCCGTGCCCACGCTTTCCACCTTCGGCCTGTGCACGAATTTCATCAATGCGGTGGTGTTCATGCGGCCCAAGATGACGCCCTCGGCCTTCACCTATCTGGCGGCGCTCTCTTGGATGGACTGCGTCTCCTGTCTGCTGATCACGCTGACGGCTCTGTCGCGCAGCTACTTCTACTACAGCCCCGCCTGGATCGCCTACGACTACCAGTGGCAGACGCCGCTCTTCGGCATCAGCACGGGAGCGGCCAATCTGATTCTCGCCTGCCTCAGCCTGGATCGCTTCACCTATTTGGCCAGCTTTAGGCGAAACAGTGGACCGCCGAGGTTCTGTCGTCGCAAGGTGGCTCGCTATATGATCGCTGTTGTGATCGCCGTCTCCATTGCCGTCAACATGCCATATTTTTTCGTCTTCTATGTGGATCAGGACGGTACCTGTCATGTGCAAGAGTTCTACTACTCCACGTGAGTTTTGTCAGAGAGAGGCTGGGCGTCCGCTTTCTTTACGAATGGAATTCTTTCTGCAGATTCTATAAGGTGCACAACTGGTTCAGCTTCACCCTGCTGGCCCTGCTGCCAGCCGTATTCCTGCTTATCGGCAACACGGCCATCATCATTGCCTTTCGACGATGGACCAAGCAGAGTCGACTTTGCCAGGCCACTGCCAACAATGGCGACACACGCACCACCATCAAACGATATCAGGTACAGTTGCCGACAAAACAATGCGGGCGAGATGTTGAATTCTAATCTTAAGATATCTATTTGTTCCCTATTCCCTATTCGCAGCACCAAATGAAGCTGACAGTGAGCATTGTGATTGTGATAACGCTGTATATGATCGGGGAACTGCCGGCGCATATGACATCGCGAAAGAGTTCGCTCAATCTGCTGTTCGGCGGCGACACCAACAAAGTGGATGAGTCAGTGATGGAGCAGGTGGAGGTGATCTGCATCACGCTCAATGCCCTGCAGCTGTCCCTGAACATAGTCGTGTATGCGGTGATCAATCCCTCCTTCATGCCAGAGTTCTTTCTCTGCCTCAAGGGCACCTCCGACGTGTGCATGGGCATTTGCTGCTTCCGTGCCATTGGTCGGAGCTGGCGTCGATGTCGGACCCGTCGCCAGCAGCAACCCGCGGCCGAGGAGTGCGTGGTCAGCTGTGTGGCGCCTCAGCATTTGCCGGCGGACGAGGCGATGCATTGCGGCTGTGCGAGTTGGGCCAGCGACTCTGATTGCCAAAACGATGCCCACTGCAGAACAGCTGTGGGCACCTTTACGCTAGTGAAGGATTCCCAAGTGCAAGAACACTCCCACTCCCATTCCCATCCAGAGCCGGAGGTGTTTACCACCAGATCCAGCTCCTGCCTGCACGCGAAAGACTCTGCATCAAACGATGATTCCATCTTCAGCTCCAGTTTTATTATAATCACCTAACAAAATTACTAGTTAAATAAACTTCACTTAAATTATATCAGCATGGTATTGTAACGATCCAGGAGACGTTGCCAAATCTTGTTGGTGAAGCGTCGCGCTTTGGTTTGGTCGCCATCGAACACTCTGTAGTAGGGATCCCCCGGCAGTATCTTGTGTATGACAATATGCATCATATCCTTCTTTCGATCCTCGTTCTTGTGTAGTGGACGCACCATCACAATTTTTGTGGAGTTTCCCGCGACAGTTGTGTTTCCTGCCAGAGTTGTGTTCTCTTGAGATTTTACGTGCAACAGGCAAACGCTGAGCACCAAGTAGAAGCCAACGAAATGGAGAAACATTTTGGGACCACAAGCGAAGTGACTCCGACGCTGTCGCCCAACAAACTGAATAACCAATGCTGCAGCACATCTTACAGTTGAGCAAATAGTGGGGAAATGTTAGACCCTCGTGAAACAGATGTAAGAACCGGTTCCCCAGCAAACAAAACTGTTGGCTCGTTGGCTTATGAAGAACTTGTGGGACGTGAAGATGTCCCATTTTTATTGATATTTCATTTGGTAAATAAATAGATGGCCACTATCAGGCCATAGAGGCCCAAGACCTCGGCAAATATCAGTATCAATATGAGACCCACAAACAGCTTCGGCTGCTGTGCAGCTGCACGGACACCAGCATCACCCACAACGCCAATGGCAAAGCCAGCGGCCATTCCAGAGAGACCCACAGACAGACCGGCACCCAGATTGAGGAATCCCTTGTAGGTGGGGTACATCTTCACCAGCGAACCGGTCAACAGCACCGAGACAACCAGTCCATAGATGGCTATGATGCCAGCCATTACCACGGGTATGATGGACTTCATTATCAGCTCCGGATGCTTGACCGCCATCGATGAGATGCCGATGGCCGACTTGGCAGTCCCATACGCTGCTCCCAGCGTGGAGAAGACAATGGCTGAAACGGCTCCCATCACACAGAAGAAGAACGCATACTTCGGCTGATCAATCGTCGCCTCGGGGTCCAATTGATGAGCAGCTCTCAGCATTGTATCGAGAATAAATCAAGTCAAGCAAATGTGTTCGTTTCGGAAAGGTTATGAGGTTTGGAGCAACGAGTGAGTATCGATTTATATTAAAAAACATTTTATTTACGAATGTTAACAGTCTTAACGATAGTGGGGAAACTCATCTTAGGGAGAGCCCGCATAGGTGTGGGCTCCTTTCTAGTCCTAATCATAGTTGAGACAACTAATTATTCAGTTTGGAGTATATAATACAAGACACAGAGCCGCGTTCGTTACCCTACTTACCCTGCAGTTTAGACAGAAAGTCCATGAGGAACTGATGTCGGGTGCGCAGCTCGATGAAATTTCGATGCTTGAGCTTGGCGCGCATCCGCCTAATGAGCTGCTCCCGATCACGTGCCCCCATTTTCATTTCGGTTAGAATTACCTTATCCTCTTCGCGCGTCCACGGCGATGACTTGGTACAACTGTAAGGTGGTGATGCCGGTTTCGATGTGCTGGCAGCCACTGTGGCCTGAGACCCAGCAGCGGAGGCCTCTTCGGCGGTTGTGAAATTCGCCAGACTGGCCACCACATCCAGTTTGCAGTCCTCGTCGCTGTCGAACTGCGTCGTGATCACGTGCTGGGGAGTATTGCCAGCACTCACCCGCAGCGGCTCTAGCTCCTCCTCCGACTGTCCCAAGTCCATTTTGACGGGGGTAAAGGACTGCGGGGAGCGGGGCAGGCTGCCGCCATTGTCCGACAGGAACTCACGATCATCCTGAGTGTCGGGCTCCACTTTGGGCACAGAGAGTGTGGCTGTTGGCTTCTGCTTCGCCTGGGCAATGACGCGGATACCCGCTTTGTTATCGGTGGAGTCTCGAGCACTTTCCTGGTCAATCAAGGTTCGCAAGCGTTTGGCACATTCAATGGCTGGCGAGGGTGGGGGCCGAGTCTCATGGATAACCACCATGGGCGTAACATTTAAGCGAGGTTTAGGCTGCGTCTGGTTCTGTGGAGAGCGTACCTTCTTTGTGGGCGATTTCCGCTTGTCCAGATGCGGTGACAAGCCCGACAACGGACTCAGCCCTGAGCTATTCGCCTGCTTGCGTGGCGACAATTCGCCAAAGTTGATGGCCGTTTTCCTGGCATTCGGATGATGGCCCTGGGAATGGCTGGCATTGGGCGTACTGGTGGCTCCAAAGTTTTGATTGCCATAGAGGCTGGCATTCAGCCGCACGGCATGAGCTTTCAGTGTCAGATCGTCGCACATCTCGATGGAGGAGCTACTGTTCAGCTCATCGCCAGTTGTGTCAATGATCAGGCCACGACTCGCATCATCTTCTTCACTCCGGTCAGCCGCATCGTCGCTGTCCACCGACGTGGCCAGGCTCAGCAGCTTTTCGCCGTGTGTCCGAATGCCGTGGACACAGGTCAGGGCATCGACAGAACCTGCTGGCAAATCGTGCAATTGCTCGTTGTAGATGCTGGCAGCCATGAACGAGAGTTTGGCGGGTAGCAGAATTTTGGAGCCATAGAACATGCGTCCATTGATGTACTTCAATCTGCATGCTGCTGGTGGCTTCGGCTGCGTAACAGGGTCCGCGTAATCGTGAACCGTCTCTGTATACTCGCCGGTTGTGTTGTGCTGCATCTCATGCAGATTAAACGTCTCCACAGGGGGCATCATTCTGTAAATATTAAATTATTAATTGAGGATTTCAAGAATGACGCAATCATCTCCTCTCACCGTTTTGGGGGCTTGCCCTGAGGGAATTGCCGCACAAACCAATCGCACAGAAACTGGTTGCCCTTGAGCAAGGGCATAATCTTATTTTCCACCTTCTTCATGCTAACACTGGGCAGCTCCGCCAGCTCACTGAGGCAGGCGTAGATCTTTCTTATCTGGGCGGGTTGCTTGCAAAAATATATATTCAGTTTGTTGATAAAATTGCTGGCATTGCTGATCATAAAGTGCTGGAAGAACTTCCCCAGCTCAGCGGCCTCCGCAGGTAGCAGAAAGTTGAGGAATACCTCTGCCAATTCGGGATAATCGGGCAAGAGCAGATTTTCCACTTTCTGCAAGGTAAACCACAAGTTGTAATGTTTGCTCAAAAGGCGGACAATATTGTATGCTTACTAGATATAAATCGGACACTTTGTCATGCTGGGGATCAAAGGTCTGCAGCAATTTATTAAATTTCTTGCAATCCTCCACCCGGTCCGCATTCAGCAAGGCCTCCTCCACTTTGTCATAGAAATTATAGGCAAAAACTGTACAAAGATACAAGAATCAGTACGATGTACTATATGTACACTTGAAATCCATTTGAACTCACTGGCATCGTTGCGGTTTTGCTCTTCTGATCCATCTGGCTGCAGCATGTGCCGGAGAAGTTCCTCCTGACGGTTGGCCTTGCGAATCCGAGCCGTTTCATGATCGTCTCGTGATCGTTTTTGCTGCGTCGAGGTCGATGTCGAGGGTTGCACCTTATTGTTGCACAGCATTTTCAAGTCACCGAGCATCAGTGTGTACAGTTCGAGGGCCAGAAAGTGTCTGTGGACGAGCTGTACAGGCTCGCAGGCCTCGTACTTTTCGGTTTCCTTTTGCAGGTAGGATGCGTAGTTGGTGATTAGGTGATGGCAGCGCTTCTGCAGTTTATGGCGCAAACGTTTGTGCAAACTGTGGTAGCGACTCTGTGGCGGGGATAAGCTGGAACGCGACTTATTGCGGGATTGAATCCTTGGCTTAAATATTTGATAGCGAGCCTTTTTGCAGTTTCTGCCTGATCCTGTTCTTGTGCCTGTCAGGGAGATGCTTTCGTGGCCTGTCGAGGAAGTAAGCAACAGACCCTGCTGCGTAGTTTCTACCTCGCTGGAGTTTTCAGAATCGTTTCTCTTCAGAGAATTCGTCAACGCATCCACCGTGTAGTTGATGGCAGGTGGTGCATCTTCGCCCAAGGGAGGCGGTGGTGAAGGCAGAGCCAGAACGTGACTGCATTCCGCGCTGGTGTGTAGCGTACGATTAATGTTCACCACATTCTCGGCCAAGTTTCCCTGCTGGAAGGGAACGGAGACACCAGCTCCTTGTATGTCCGTATCAGTGCCGCCTCCAAACACATAGTTCACATTGATGGTCAGCAAGGACGATTGGCGATCCTTCTTTTTCGCTGCGTAGTTTGGCTTCCTTTGAGACTTCTTTGGTGTCTCTACGAGTGCTGAAACAGTGGCACCCCCGTCTGGGATGGCAGCCTCGCCTAGACTCTCGGGCAATTGCAAATCTTCGCCGATTGCCTCGCGCACAAAATCAATATACGATGCACTGGCTTCAGCTGAGGCCTTGACTGGCTTTATGGTGCGCCTGGCACGCTTCTTTTCCCACGTTTTCTGCAAAATATTCGACAATTCAGGCGACTATAGAAAATTTTCCCGAATTTATAAACATTCAGGGATGAGAGAAACAAAGGTAGGCAACTATCGATAGCCGCGCAGTCAACAGGCGCACTATCACTTGCGGTCGGTAGTTTCCGATAGTATTGCCATTGTCTATCGCACTCTTGGCAACAAAAAGTGAGTCCCAAAAACATATTTTTTGTTATTAATTAAAATATTAATATTATGTGGAGGCAACTTTCTAATTAAAATATTTCAATTTCAGCCGTATTGCACAGCCAAGTCGAGTACGGATTCCATTAGCGACAATCGACACTGGCAGCTGTTTACTGTACACAAAAACACAAAAACTGACCACGTCACTGAGAAATCTATCTGCATTCCAACATGAGCAAAGTAACCTTTAAAATCACGCTAACCTCGGACCCAAAGTTGCCCTTCAAGGTGCTCAGCGTACCGGAGGGAACCCCATTCACGGCCGTGCTCAAATTCGCATCAGAGGAGTTCAAAGTGCCCCCCGAGACGAGCGCGATCATCACCGACGATGGCATTGGCATCAGCCCCCAGCAGACGGCCGGAAATGTATTCCTGAAGCATGGCTCCGAACTGCGTCTCATACCCAGAGATCGTGTGGGCCATTAACTAGCTAGCTTAACGTATTTCCCGCTTGAGATTTTCCCCCCTAATTAAATGTAATATGAAGAAATCCTCACCTGCATGTAGTATTGCCAGGCACTGGGCAGCTCCTGGTAGCGTTCGCGCGGGATCAGCACTTGGCCTCTGTCGAAGCCCAGTAGTATGTGGTTGATGGGCGGCGCCCGCTCGTGATCGAAGTAATACTTGACGGGATTATACTGATATGTTTCGCGCAGCTCAATGACCTTGAAGAAAATTCTTCTGCCCGATTTGCCATGCAGTAAATCCTTGGCCATACGCTTGCAGGATATGCGCACAGGATCGGCGCTCTTACGCAGCGGTCTCTTGGCATTCTTAATGTCAGTCATATGCTTCTCCAGGCCCATGGCTATCAGTTGGTACTCGTATGGAGCCCACGCGGTTATGTGCGGAATGCGCGGTTTGAAGGCCATGCGTGGAAGATATTTCGGATACATGAATACTCGACTGTCCAGCATGAGATCCATTATCCTCGACGCAAGCCGAGGCACCTGCCGCGTTCGGCCACCGCTATACGAGAAAGAGAAGAGCCATTATATTGGGCAGGAAAGAGAAAATCCTTTGGCACTCACGTCAAGTCAGTCTCTTTGTTGATGAAGTCCATCATCTTTTTATTCTCCTCCTGGAAGTCGTCGCTATTGAGATCGTGCTCCCACTGTCGGACCAGCTCGATGGCTTCCTTCAGGTTCGTGCAATTGAAGCTGGCGTCTGTGGCTGCCCTCTGATGAAGATTCTCTAGCAATTCCTTGGGCTTCTTAGCCATCGAATAGAGTGTGGGATGCGAGTAGGTTTGAAGGTAGCTCTGGGTGAGCAGTTGAGTGTGAATACGCAGCTGCTGTTGCAGCGTATCGTGCTGATACTGTGTAAATCCCATGCCACGTGCAATGGGAGGGGCTGGTTGGATACTTCGCAGATTTTCGAACTGTTCATCGTACTCCGCGTAGACGTGCTTGCGCACCGATATGTATTCCCAGGTGAAGTTCGTATCGTATGGCTTCATGTAACGATCCTTGCTGCATTTAGATGATGTGGGCGGTTCCGACGTCTCTGTGTCAGCGTAGTCTAGGAAGGGATCTTGCTCTGAAGGATTGTAGAGGGGCAGTGGACCATTTGCAATGACCTTCGCCAGCTGGAAGCAATTGGGTTGACCAGCCAGCGGCACGGCAATCAGTTCTGGTGGCTCATTTAAGGCATCTGCTGGCACATTCACAATCTTGCAGGGACTGTTCAGACTCCCAGCCCCTACAGACTGATTCGGATCCCCATCCTGCGGCACAGCAACGGGAACGGGCATTAGCATGGCCATATTATTATCCGTACAGGGTACACTCGGTCGAAAGGCATCCAGTTCGGGCTGGTGGGAGGCAGTCATGGCTGGCTGCTCATCAAAATTGATATGCCGCGATACCTGGTCAATGGGATCAACCGAAATATTTGCGCTATCCAGGAATTTCTGTGGGGTCTCCAGTTCAACGGATTCGAATGATACTCCCTCCTGCAGGAGCCCGGCAAACAGTTCGGACACCAGGTCAGTGAGCTCCTTCTTGGATATATTGACATCACGCAACTCCTCGGCGTTTTCATACTCCGAATCAATGTGGTCAACGGCCACATACTCTGGATCTTCAATGAGATCATCGTCATCACCTAGAAAATTATTATCTGCGAAAATACAAAGGATTACTACGTGGAAAAGGCGATGAAGTAAACTTTCTACACACTCAAAGGCTTTGTGAAATCGTTAAGGAACTGCATCCAGTCGGCATCAGTGGCCGTCATGTCGGGCTCGACTATATCACTGGGCTCCAGATCAGGCGGCACAAATCCCGACTGCAGGTCCTCGATTGTCGTCTCCTGCAGACATAGTTTGGAACGCGTACGCGTGGCAATGCGCAGATCTTCATTTCCAGCAATATTTTTGTCAAGCGGCACCTTGAAGCAGCCGTCGTCTGAGAACTTGACAGGCGACTCTTCAGTTCCAGTGAGCGGGGTGTTTGGTGTGCATGGATTGGAGTCCATGTCAGAGGCTGTGGTGTTTGGATCCTCGTCAGACTACAAAACAAGACACATTAATGATGGATATGCTATGGCAAAAGCGTTGCCCACCTCGTGAAAGTCGTCTTCCTTGAAGGTATACTCCTCATCCTCCTCGTCCGAGTGCAAATCGTCGCGTATCAGCGCCTCTATTCCATTCGCGTCGACCGGCGAATCGTTCAGGGAAGGCAGACTAATGCTCGGAGTGCAATTCAGCTCCCTCGCCTTGGCACGGGTCAGCTTGGCCACCGAGGGGGTGTCTGTGATGATGATGGCGCCCCGTTTCTGCTGCTCGGTCGACTCCAGCCGCTCCCTGGCTAGCTCATCCTCCGCCTTCAGGGTGACCAATGCCAGCACGTGGTCATTGCGAACGACACTGCGAACCACCCTATGCATATCCTCGCTGCTAATGGAATTGTCACGAGCCACCTTCCGCAGCCGGCGATCTATTTCCTTGGCATCATCGTCCACCTGAGAGTCGAGACTCTGTCGGTCAACACGCCGCCGCTTTCGCGCTCGCTTGGGCGTTGAGCTGGCGCTGCTGGCGCCGTCTGACTTTTTGGCACTGTTTGGCATTGTTTCGAGACATCTATACACTTAGTTTTAGCACAAAAGATTTACTTAAAAACAAAAATGCCAACAGTGTGCCCACAAAATGCCGCCACTATATTCTGCGGATGGGGATCTTTCGATAGTCAACTATCGCTTAGAATATGCTCTATGCAGGTGTGTACTCACTGTTGCAGCCCTATCGATTGCCGTTTTATCGCGAGCCTGTTGTGGAATTGTCCAGTTGCCGGGCAGGCAAAGCAAACTATTTTATGCACAAAATATTCACTACCGCTGCATACGCCAGGACATTCCCACCCCGAGAGTGCCCTTTGAATAGCTTGCTAACGCTGCCAAAGGCGTGGAGGGTGCAAGTTGAATGCAATCTGATTGTGTCATACACAGGTAAGCTTTGAATTTGGGTGTGAATCACATGCCTCATGACTCCACCCTTCGCAGGCTTAGCAAATGACTAGAAAAGTTACCAAGCTGGCACTGGTCAGTCGGGTCATGGTGCTGGTGGTCCAACTGGTGGCCAACTTTGCCACGCCCAACCACAAGCCCGACGTGTTCCGCATGCCGCAATCCGAGGACGCTAGCAAGAATGGACCGTTTCCTTGGCTGGACAAACTGGTGCTGCAGAGCCTGTCTGGCCTACGGCACTGGGATGGCGAGTACTTCCTGCACATAGCCAGCAATTTGTACACTTATGAGAACACCCTGGCGTTCTATCCGCTGTATCCAGTCGTTGTGCGTCACGTGGCACAGGCCTGCCTTCACTTGGGTGTACCATTGTCCCGAGACGCGCTCATTTTGCTTGTGGCGGTGGCTCTCAATGTCTGGATATTCTGCAAGGCGGCCAACGTCCTACACAAGCTGACCCAACGGATGTTCAACGACCACAACAAGAGCTGGAATGCGGCTTTGATCTTCTGCTTTAATCCGGCGTCGATATTCTTTAGTGCCGCCTACTCAGAGACCTTCTTTGCCTTCGCCAGCTTCTCGCTCATGCTGGAGTGCATGCGATCTGAGAAGGAATTTCGGACTCTAAGGCTGGGAGCTGCCTTGACTGGATGCTTGGTCTGTCGCTCCAATGGACTCATAACCCTGGGATTTCCCTTGTATTTCGTTGCTCGCCACATTCTGCTCTCTACGAGCTCGGCGCAGCGCTGCTGGCAGCTCATCAAAATGGGCCTGGCAATGCTTGTTGCTCTCGGAATCCTTCACACGTATTACTTCTACATCTACAGGCTGTACTGCCTGCCCGATGTTAAGGTGCAGCATGACCAGCACATCTTGGACTACGCCAAGGAGAGGAGCTACTTGGTCTCTGGGCCAGGCATCGGCTGGATCGCCCTGGTGCGGATACACCCTGCCGTTTCCCTACACGTATGTCCAATCGCACTACTGGGATGTGGGCTTTCTGCGCTACTACAAGTGGAAGCAGCTTCCAAACTTTCTGTTGGCCCTCCCCATGCTGCTCTTCATGCATTGGCACTGCTACGACTACATCAGGAAGCTCGTTGCTAACACATGGTCGAAGATCAACCATGCCGAGTACAAATGCCTCCTTAAGGAGCACATTTCGTTCCCATTCGTACTTCACGCCGCTGTGCTGACCCTCGTCTGCACGTTGTACGTACACATTCAAGTTTCCACTCGACTCTTGGCATCGGCTACGCCCGTGTTCTATTGGTTTGCCGCCGATCACATGCCCAACACATTCCAGCTCTCGTTCCGCTCCAAAACTGGGGCACTGTTCATATGGTGCCTCACATACAGCCTGCTGGGAACGGTTCTCTTCAGCAACAACTATCCATGGACGTAAAGTGGATAAGAGGATAAGGAGCACGAGCGCTGGCTGCCAAAAGAGACTGTACATCCGAAAGGATTAAACTTTTAGCATGTAAATATTTTTCAAAAGGACCGCAGAATTGAATTAAAATTTTTGAACTACGACTAATCGATATCATTCGTGCACATCTCTATGTAACGCCTATCGACTACCATATCAGCTGTTTGGGCGCACACAGCAAAACAAAGCGAAAATTGTTTATATCCGTGATACGGGGGATAATAAAAAAAAAAACTTATGGATGGACTACACCTGCATAAGATAAGCGACTTGCGCTCTCCAGAAAGTTCGAGCAAGGAAGCCACAGGCAACAGCATGGAGCAGCTTTCGGGTGTTATGATAATCATAATCATCAGTGGAGGTGTCCTCACATCCCTGATGCTCTTTATCTTTGCCAAGCGACAGATAATGCGGTTCCAGCTGCGTGGACGTCGCGGTCCTCATGTTCCAGTGGGCACCGATGCCAAGAAAGTGCTGCGTCGAGAGATCGAACGACGATTGGACTGCATCCAGAAGATAGCCCAGGAGCCAAGGCTGCTGTGGAACGAAGGCGACAAGTACATAGTGCAGCCGGAGCAGGAGGAGCCTCTGCCGCCGTATTACTACAGAATGAAGGCTGTAGATGACGTAAAACTGCTGGAATCTGAGATCGCCCGGGCGGATGGCAGCACAAGGCACGCCCACGAGAGTCTTCGTGCGTTTCTCCTTACCACGCTGTCGGTCACCCTCAACGGTGCAGGCCAGCGCATGATTCACCAGTATTGTGATATGTACGAGCACGCTCGCCACGATCCCAACGAGTTTGGCAAGGACGAATATGAGGCGTATCACCGTTTGTTGCTAAAGCTCCTGGAAGCGTAAGTACACCCGGCTCCGATCTCGTCTGGCTACATGACTTAAGACTTACCCTTTAGATCCAAGCAGCTGAAGAATTACAACTCCAGGAAGGCCTCACCGGCCCGCACTCCACGCAAGCAAACCAAAATGCACTCTCTACTGGATCCGGCTCGCCTGCGTCCTCCCACCTCATTGGACAATGTGCAACCGAGCAGCGAACTGACTTCTGGCCAGCATTCGAAGGTCAACATGACACTCGGCCTCCAAGGCGTCCCCATAGACGGGGCCGCCGAGCTGGCCACCAATCCGCTGCACTTGCAGGCCCCGGCCGAAAGGGATCTCATTATACGCAGCAGAATCAAGACTCCAACGCTAGACGACATCATTGTTGAGGCGGACCACCATCAGAGCGGTGATGGTGCCGTGGAGGGGGCGGAGAACGAAATAAGAAGCATATCCGCTATGCAATTCCAGAGGAATTCCAGTAATGTCTAAGCCATCGCCCAAAGAACACAAGCGATCACTGCTTGGGTGAACCCAATAAAATATTAAATTCGTATAAAGGGAATTTCTATAACACAATAAAATAATTAAAATATAATTTTTTTCCTATTTCTTCTTGCAGGGATCCTTGTCTTTCTCGGCACACTTCTTCTTCAGCTCCTCCTCGGCGCACTTCTTCTTCAGCTCTTTCTCAGCACACATCTTCTTCAGCGCTTCCTCGGCACACTTGTCCGCCAGTTGGGTGTACACAATCAGATCGAAGAGGCGACACGAGTAGCCCGTCTCATTGTCATACCAGGCAATCAGCTTGACAAAGTTATCGCTGAGGGCAATGCAGGCCTTTGGCATCGAAAACGGACGCAAAGCGCGAACCGTTGAAGTCCGAGGAGACGACCTCCTCCTCCACATAGCCAAGGATACCCTTCATATCACCCTCGGCCGCTGCCTTTACGGCCTTTTTGATATCATCCAATTTGGCAGCCTTTTCCAGGCGGCATGTCAGATCCACCACAGAGACATTTGGGACGGGCACACGGAACGCCATGCCCGTGAGCTTCCCGTTCAGAGAGGGAATCACCTTGCCCACTGCCTTGGCAGCGCCCGTGGATGCTGGTATGATATTGCACATTCCACTGCGACCATCGCGCCATGCCTTGTTGCTCGGCCCATCGATGATCTTCTGGGTGGCGGTGGCGGCATGCACCGTGGTCATCAGACCCTCCACAATTTGGAACTTGTCGTGCACCACCTTGGCCAGCGGGGCCAGGCAGTTGGTGGTGCATGAGGCGTTCGATATGATCTTCATGTCCGGTTTATACTTGTCCAAATTAACGCCGCACACAAACATCGGGGCATCGGACGAGGGGGCAGAGATGACCACCTTCTTGGCGCCCCCATCCAAATGGACCTGGCACGCCTTTAAAGTGGTAAAGCGGCCCGAGCAATCGACGACAGTTGTCACGCCCAGATCTTTCCACTTGAGCTTCTTGGGATCGGACTCCTTCAGCAGCTTGATCTTCTTCCCATTGACCACCAATGTGTTTCCCTCCAGGGAGATCTTCTCGTTGAATATGCCGTGCGTGGAGTCGTGACGCAGCATATAGGCCAAGTACTTGGGGTCCATTGAGGGGTCATTGATGGCCAGCACTTGCGCCTCCTTGCGCATCAGACAGTTGCGTAGAAACACGCGACCGATGCGTCCAAAGCCATTGATTCCGAGTCCAGACATCTGATGATGCTCGCAATATTAACACAGTTAGATTTTCAAAAAATTGAGTTTGTTTCCACTAAAATGTTGGCTCCGATTTGAGAGTATTCCTATCGAATGAAACAATGCCAAAGGGCACAAACACAGGACACAAACGGATGACATTTGAGTCACGGTTCACTGAAGCACCGAAGCAGATCGTACAAGGAATTTATGTTTCCCAAATGGGATGTTTTACCTTTGATTGCTTATTTAAACCCACACCCAAGCATGGATGCCATTCATACGGTGAATAGTTGTAAGATTTTGGTATTCCGCCTACAAGATACCCGCTACTCACAAATAAATGGGCAACACTATCAAAGCAAAACTCTCGCAATGAGAGACTAAAGAGCACAATGGCATACTCTGTGAGGTACTGGGTATATGACGCACCAGAGTATAAATCAATCGAAATTCGTCCAGCTGCCAGAGCTTCTCACAACAATTCAAATTCGACCTTTGTCTTGGGGGGGAGGAGGTGGAGCTGCTTCTCTGCCCAATTGTTGCCCACAGGCACTGGGAGTCCGCTTCAAGGGTCATTACTCACCTTTGTGTGTGGGGAACGCCACTTCTTATACCCATCCCAGGAGGCGGCACTCGGCCCTCGCCCTTCCACACACAACTTTTTTCCTGCATTTCAGATGACGGGGACCAAAGTACCGAAATATCAATTCCAGAAACCAATTCCTCCCCTCACTCGACTGTCCCCTCGCCCGTCTGTTGGCCATGACTTTGCTGGAAATGTTCCGAATTGTACTTTTATTCCGTTTCGCTTTTCGTGGAGTCACCATTATCCGTGCCACCTGGATCCACACCACCCCTTGCCACATACATATGTCGGGGAAAATGGTCTTCCATTTAGCCCTATGACAACTTAACTTTGTTGAATATTTATGATGCCTCGGCAGCAGGTGGGCCCGCTTGGGCCCGACAACATGCTTGCAACATGTGGCAGTGGCAACATGCGACCGCCCACGTACCGACCGGGAGAGCGAAAGTGCGCTCTCTCTTTTGGTGGCCCCGGAAACCAACCAGAGTTCGGGCTCTCTCCGGGGGCTGTGGTGGGTTTTTGGCGTGTTGGGTTGTGTTGCAAGTGCAAAAATTGGGTCCGTTGCTGATTACGAAATTGTTGCAGTAATCGTAGCACCCCCGCAGCCCAAGTCCAGCAACAAATGAAGATGAAGGTGTCCCACCGCCCAGCGGTGTGGGGGACTCTCAACAAATGTCCCATACGACTATGTATCTACATGTTCCCATGTTTATTCTTTGAATCCAATCAAATCCAACTTAATCCAACTGCCGCAGGGCTCTGGATCTATCGTGGTCATAGAAAAAGCACTTAAAGGGTCTTAGTGCAAGGGCCACAGCTCTTCCTGGGTCGAGAGGTTGCAGGGCAGCACAACTTTGTTGCTTTTCCTGCTTAGTGTCTCTTTTTTCATTTCAGTTTCAGCTTAGTAGTTGTTGTTGCTTTTGCCTGCTTGAAATTTATGCGAAAAACTTTCAAATTTGAAACTTGGCTGCCGAGTGTCGCCGCTGAGAAATGGAACCGGGACAGGGGACCCAGCCACAGCAGCACCCAGCACCAGCAACCTGAGTGGTACAAAATGTTTCCATTAAAATATCGTTTAAAGAAGGAGCTTAAACTGGAGCTTAAACTAGAGCTGAAAATTAAAATGAAATTTAAATTAAATATTTGCCAAACGGTAATAGTATAAAGCATAATATTTGCGTGTTAATTAAGCTTATCATTTTCCATATTTATGTTTTGTGAATATTTTAATTTAATTTGAAAATCATTTCAATAAAGCTCGTGTGTTATTTGAACTACAATAATATTTAAAAAAGTTAATCAGAAAAGCACACAGCTGCTGGCTGCCAAAGAAATCAAGCAAAAACTCATCTGCAGTGACAAGCGACTGACTGACTGCATTCAATTTGTAGCTGTAGCGACCAGCCAAGCAGGCAGAGCTTTAAGCTAATACCATACCAGTTCACTTCCACTCTACTCTCGCTCTCTCTTATAAAGCTTTTGCTTGAGTGGGGATCGCTAAGCTCGATTTACGCAGTCGGCAGAAATTGTGCAATTACCGTTGGCCAAAACAAGTTCATGCATGTCCATGCGTGTTCGTTCGTTCGTTCTTTCGTGTCGTCTCCCACCCGCAAGCATCCTTAATCTTAATCACAGTTTTTTCAACTGCCAACAAACATTAAGCGTAACTGTGCCGTTTTCTACATGCAACTAATACTCGGCCAACGTTAAATGTCCCTCTAGGGTCCCCTTAACTTTTGGGCCCCCACCCACTCAACCCGACAAAGCCCCATACTAAAGTCAGCGCTCTATGGCAGTATTTAAGAGACGGGCTGAACATTAAAGTGTGCCACAGGCCACACCGAACGGCACAACAAATCGTTTGCGAAATGTTGCGGAAGTGCCAATTGTTTTTGTGTCTTGTCCCAGGCGCAAACAAGCAGCGAAGGACAAACTGCCGCCATAATTTCCACAGCTGTCAGTGCGATGCGGAGCAGCTTAGCACCGCACCCACCCACTTCCCACATCCCACTTCAGGAGCCCGACTTTTCCCACCCACCGATAATCGCATTGAGCTTATAAATTTTCCATAAGCTCCTGCTGAGCAACGTTTCTGGGGCGGAATGGGTGTGCAATGGGCACGGGTGCAGCAATGTTGTTTGACTGCTTAGCGATTATCCTGGGGATCAATATTCAGCTTTCAGCTACCAGCTCCCAGCTGCAGGACCCTGCAGCGTAGTGTAGTGCCCGAACAGCACAGGGCGCACTAGAAGAATGGAGCAGCATGCAGCAGCATATCATTCAAGCAGCTCGTTAGCCAAGAAACTGGGAAGGGATCTCGACTACAAATTGAATTGTCAAACACAAGTGCGGCACTTTGTCGTTGGAGCTGCTGAAAATATTTGGGGGAACAAAGCAGGCCCCGGAACAAAGGAACAGCCTGCTCTCCATTCAAGCCTGACAGCTAATTGTGCGCTCAAGTGGCTAAAAGGGGCGTGCCAGGCAAGGGTTCTGTGTCCTGTTCGTACTTGTTTCTGCCAGAACTTGGAATTAAATCAAAAAGCCAATGCGGCAGATGCAAATCAGATTTGTTTTGGTACTATCCTTTCCTTTCCATTATTATTTTTTTTTTTTTTATATTTGGCAGCTCATGAAAATAAGTATATAACTGCAGCCAAAAATCAATGGGAGCCACAAGCACACCCCAACCCACCCACAGATGGATGTGACACTGTTTGACTATGTCTGAGTTCTGGAAATGCCATTCTATTCATTGGCTTTGCTTTGGGGATATAATTCAATTTGCATGATGGCGGATGTGGAATGGCAATTTCCTTCTATGCATATCTCTCTCCCTCTCTCTCTGTCTGTCTCATTCTGTGTGTTTTGGGTTTCTGTGGCATTGAAACTTGTGTAAAACTTTCCTGGCAGCTTTGAAAATTAGTTGGCGATAAATAAACTGCAACTACAAGAGTATTTGAATGCACAGTAATGGTATGACCAAAGCTATGCCTCAGATTTGCCTCAGATAAATGGTAACTTTTCAGTGTCAAGCGCTCTAAGCGCAATAAAAGCCCTTTCGAGTGGAATTTTCAATGAAAGGGATCTGTGCTTTTGCTGGGTGTAAATATGTATATAATTTGTACATAAAAGGAACTCTCTGGCAACAAATCTTTCACTGAGAAACAAACTTGAAACAAGGCCATTAGAGAGAATCCCACACAATTGCAGGGTCCTGCAATTGCCTCAGCACTCGCACCTACCAGCTACTCGCCTGTTCACTCCCATTTGTGCTTGGGGGGAGCTTCATATAAATTCCCCATCTATCAGTTCTCGGTGGTCGTTGGTCACTGGTCGCTTTTGACTAATTGAGCGACTGACCAGTGAGAAATTGCCTGAAATTGAAATTCAATGGAATAACAATTAATTGAGTGTTGGTTCAGACAGGTGCAGTAATTACGTTGATATATGACTGTCTACTACACAGCCTGTCGGACTCGATAAATAAAACAGCATTACGTATACGCTAAGGATGGCCAGCTACATGTAATGTACTGTCGTCTGTACTCCTACGTCCTACGTAGTATTCTGCTAGGGCAGCGAGTCAAATGCCATGAAATTTCATTACCTTCAAGAGCAGCAAATAGCATAAAAGTTAAGCTGCAACCTAAACCAATTACATTTGCTCCGCGCGACTGACACGGAGACGAGGGGACGAGCCACGGGAGACAGAGCCCCAAGAGCCACTACCACTTGAGAATGCTAGTGGACGAAAACGAGCAATGAGAATGTCAACAGTACCAACAAACCAACAACGAAAAACAAGAAATCCCACCCTCTTTCATAGGTGGCCGAAGGTTTGGATGCCCTTGCAGATACATATGTAGATATTTTCTATGGTAGATATACATACATATGTACAATGAAAACTAAAGCTTTGATTTGCCCTACGTTGGGTTTTCAGAAACAACAAAAATTTAAACAATACAACTCTTTTTTTCAACTATTGTTTCTTTATTACAAAATAAATTACAAAATCTGAGCGATTTCCATTTATATACTGCCATCAGGAACAAAAAATGTGAAAATGAAGTGTCAGACAGATATCTTTAAAACAAAAGGAATTATCAGATGGATGCTGCTGGTGCTAATCAAAACCATACTTAAAATGTATACTCTATAGGGTCGAAAAAACTTTTCTTCTCAGACAACCACAGACCGCTATCCAAAATCGTAATACCCTCTGTCTGCAGGGATATAAAAATATGTCCAGGACCAGCAGGAAAGAGCCAAGAGGAACAATAGTGAAACCGAGCAGCAGGCAAGGGGGCAGGGCAGCCAGCAACTGGTGCTCTGTTAGGTGGAAGGAGAGCAGCGAGAGAAACGGAAGGACCAAGCTTCAGCGGGGACATTAAAGAGATTTATTTATATCTGGCAACATTGTGTGTGCCGTGCCGAGTGTTGCCGAAGCATATAAAGTCACGGAACTGAGATGAGCTGAGAGCAAGGAAGGCAATGGAGTACAGCAGAACAATTCCCTCACTTGTCAGCTAACAAACTGCTCA